ACATAACCTGTCTCAGAAAGGACAACATACAAATAATCCGTCGAGCATTGCTAATAGATATACTTCATTGGCAGCATATTCAGTAATGATTTTCTCACACAGCAAATATCACTGATTTTATAAACATGCAGACCAATACACACAATCATCCAGATGCAATATTGCTAATCCACCAACTTTTTTCTCAGAGATGAAAACTATAGACTACTTGACTTCACAAAACATATGCAACTAGCAATGCGTGTAGTTGAGCCATTCCTCAATAGATGGACGCATCCAACGATCCTAGTGAGCAAACGTGGAATGACTGTTTGCGCCCGAAAAACTACCTAGTCTGCAAGACGACATTTTATGGGCCTTTTTGACGTTTTATAGGTTTTTTATATAATACCCGAGCGGCAGTTCTTAGGGTGCAATCATTCCACGTTTGCTCACTAGGATCATTGTGAGCGTCCGGTTATAGAGGAATAGCTCAACTACACGCGTTATTGGTTGCATATGTTTTGTGAAGCCGAGTAATCTGTACACTTTAGTTTTCATATCTTCGAAGAAAGCTGGTTGAATAGCAAGACCGCATCTGGATAATTCTGTGTATTGATCTGCATGTGTATAAAGTCAGTGATATTTGCTGTGTGAGAAAATCATCATTAAATATGCTGCCAATGAAGTATGTTTATCTATTAGCTGTACCCGACGGGTTATTTGTGGTGTGCTTTCTGAAGAAAGGTTATGGTCAATGTTATAAATTACGAAAAAGTTTGAAGAGAATTTCGGGAAGTCACCACCGCGCCCGCGACAGTGTACAGTGAATATAATTATTTTTTATCTCTCTGATTTTTAAATTCAGCGAATATGCATATGTAATTTCCAGAATGGATAAGAAAAAGTGGATACTCAACTAATTTCTAGCTTTGAATCTCAAGTAAGTGTATTTTAGACAAGAATAATGGAATTATCATCAACACATACAACTTACAGCTTAGCCTTCTGGTAATGCTATCTCTGAAGCCTCATGACGTTGAGGCAACACGTACAACTACAAAACGAGTTCACAACGTGTCCATCAGCTAGTGGTAAGTTAATATCTTGTCGAAAAACCTACATAATGTCAAAAAGAAAACAGTACAGTGTCAAAGAAAATCGATACAACGTCACTTTTCACGATACGTAATGCCCGTGCGGGCATTTTTAACATGAATCATAGTAGTTGGTCATACAAGTTATTTAACCTTGAACCGAAATCCAGTTTTATATCAGAGAAGTATTATGGAAGTAGCTTAAATGCAACTTAATACTACCAAACTTGTTCGAATGCACATGCAAAATAAAATGATAAGATTTTAGTGTTGAGGTATTCAAATACTAATTATGTATACTGAAGTAGTAAATTACTTCAATAAGAAGGATCTTCACAAAACTAAACTTGAATTACAAAAATGTAAACTTGACAGCCTAATAACTTGTTCAATAAGTTTCTGAGATGCTGTCTCCATGGTTTGAATTACCGGAGTTTTTGTAGTTTTCAAGACTATTTTCTGAAAACATTCTCAAGTTTTCACTCATCTGGATATAGTTTATCAAAACAATTCCATTTTAGGTTCAAAACACTAATTGAAAGATAAATATGCTTACCTTATGAACTACTCAGGCATATCACAAGAAGAAAAAGAAGTGTGCTAAGAACTACTTAAGTGTTTCATTGTATGTACAATTTTTGTGCCCAAAATTATGTACCATATGGTTATAATTTCTTGTGCCCGCGTTGTCTCCAATTTGATTTTTTCTAAGCGCCAATTGTCATTAGTGTTCATATCCCATCCGGCTTGCTGATAGTATTATAAAGCTAAGTACTAGAAGGGGTTTGTAGCCTTTTGTTCTATCAGGTACTTCTATAAAGAAAATTCCCCATGCATCGAATGCATCTTTTACTCACCAACGACCATGGATATACTTACTGGAACCTGACAAAAAAGATGTTGATTAAAGTAATAACCTTAACTCGTAATAAATATAATTGCATCAAATGCAAGAAAACATTCAATTTTAACTATACAGTGTGTCCCAGATTCTCTTCCCTATACAGGGTCTCGGCTCCTGTTATACTTACAGAAAAGGGAGATGTTTTAGAGGAAACTTAGTGCTTTCGATAGCCGGCTTAAGATTTACGATCGGTTAATTGGTTCCAAAAATATAAGCGAAAAACCGAAAATGGTGCAATTCATTTTTTGCCAGTAAATTTAAAAAATAAGATGACATGTCCCAATCGTCTTTGTTTTCTAGCAACCCGCCTCAACTTTCATTTCTTATGGCCGCCATATTGAATTTTCTGATTTCTGAAAGAGTTTAAAATTTCCTCACAAGTGCATAAAAGATAGGAGTATCACCGAAACATCATCATACGTAATTTTATGTACTCGTTTCTTTGTAAGGAGGCCATTATTTATTTGTCAGAAATATCATTAATGAGTAAGGCATAAAAAACATATACACGCCTTGAATTTTCAATAGAATATTAACGTTAATATCGACTTCTCAACAAGTCTAATGTTCTGGGACAAATTCCCAACTATAAGTGGGTTGAAAAAACAAGTCAGAAAATCGTTGTAAATTTATTTTACACTTGAACAACAAACATTTTACATAATTGTAATGTGAAATCTAATTATGTAATTGGGTATTAATTTACTGATTTGCAAAATACCGTCCATTTGTATCCAGACCTTTTTAACAACCTTAGCTAGTGTATTTCTGTTAATGTCTTTAGCTGTGCACAAAATTCTTTGACTTAGGATTTCTATCGTTGCAGGAGGATCAAATTCATAGACCTCATTCTTTGTGTGTCCCCAGAGGTAGTAATCTAAGGGTGAAAGGTCAGGGGATTTAGGAGGCCAAGATATTGAACCATTTAATGCTCTCTTAAGAAGTTCCTGACTTGAATGATGTTATGAGCAGGACATCCATCCTGTTGAAAGCAGGTTCTTCTAAACTTATCTTCAGTTAAATTAGCGCGTGAAGCCGGCACAACCTAGTTTCGCAAACGCTCTAGGTACCTCTGTCGATTTTCTGAAATGATTAATACCTAATTTCAAATAGGTGCCCAATAAAGAAAGGTAAGTTAGATTAAATTACCAATGATCCCACACCAAACGTTAGTTTCAAATCTGGTCCGTAGACGTCTTTATGCCACTTCGTGAGGGTTTTCACAGCCCTATGATGAGTGTTTGTACTTATTAGAAACTCCCCAATTTGTAAAACTCTTATAGGACCAAAAGACATGATTTACAAAATCGGGATTTTCATTAGACTTTCCATTATGCAGTAAATCAGTTTCATTAAGTCTTAAACTATCTATATTATGTTATATATATTCATAAGGTTTGTATGGATGGTACTTATTCTTATTTAACACTCTCTGTACTGTCGATTTTGACACACCAATTTCTCGTTCTCACTTATGCACTAGGGATTTCGTTGACAGCTCGTAAAATGTTTCTGTCGCGGTATTCATTTTCAGTATTGTATCCGCTTCTAGGTTGTTCGAAGGTCCCATCCCCCGGTTTATTAAATTAACTAATACTTTTCTAAATTGGGTTTATGAGGCTGCTGTCGTTCGGGGTACATCTCCAAGTACCTTGCTGAGGTAATGTCGGCGTTTCAGTGTGACTGCTATACAGCATGTAACATGTCAAACATTTTTCATTTGACTAGGGAATACCGGCCATTTTAAACAGGTTTTGACAATTTTGTTGTCAGATTTATGATTTTAATGAGAGAAAACGTACACCTACTTTTATCGAAATACAATTTTAATACTTTACTGGTAAAAAACAAAATATTCCCAAAACCAATTGACCGATCGTAAATCTGAAACCGACTATCGAATGCACTAAGTTTCCACTGAAACTTTCCCCATTTAACCTTTGCTGTAGGTATAGCAGGAGCCGAGATCCTTGTATAGAGAAGCGAATCTGGACACAATGTATTGCATAAAAGGTTGAACTGTAAGCTGTCTGATGAAAACTGGTCAGAGATATATAATCAGGATGATCCGGAAAAAGCATTTGATATTTTTACCTTACACCCTCAGCCATATATAAATTCATGTAGACTAAAATTAAAAATAAATAAAAATTCCTCGGATATCGAATGGAATTATAACATCAATTTACAAAAAATTAAACTGTATAGAGAAACTAAAAGATTTCCACCAAGTTAAAACTTATAAATAAATGAATTTAAATTATATAGAAATAAATTAACAACATTTAAAGAGCCTAAACTATAATTTTTCAAAAATGAAGTGAACACACTTCTTAGACCAAAATGTGGCATTTAATAGAAAAGATGCAACATTGTAATGAGCGGCTGGATTGTGGCAATGACGTGACTGTTTTGTTATGTTAGCTTTCGGTACTTATAGTTCAAGAACCTGCTAAAAAAGGTAAGAAACCCGTTTACATAAAATTCTATTCCCTATAAAGAGATAATAGTCTGTATATGCTTAGATTGTTAGTTTAGCCGTTATAAACAAAATATCATAGATGTAGACTTATCCTTAATTTCTCGTAAGCTGTTGGATATGCGGAAAAATTCTGTAAAAGCAAGGTGATAGAGAACTTAATTTCCTACAAAATTATTTGCTATTACTTATTTACATAGTATCGCTGGTATACAAGATGTTTGATGGAACGCATTTATCGACATGACTGCTAATGTCCTCTATCACGTCGCCCAATTTGGACACAGAGCGGAATTCTAAAAGAATTTAAAAAAAAAATCTGTTGCTCGTCTTTTTGAGAAAAAATTACCTATTCTCTGGAGTAAAGTAAGAAAAATAACATTTGGTAATGCACTAGGCTTACCAAACTGCAGTGGAGCAACATTCATTCGCGGTTTAATTGAACGCAGTATTTCAGCAGCAAACAAACTGCTTACTACACTATCTGTATCCCCTCCGAGCATAGGTTTCTTCTATTTTGAAAATGTTCAGTGTGTTGCAGACTCTCGCTGAACAGTTACCGTATCGTCGCGATGCAGGAAATGCGGGAACTTTGCGGAAAATTGTTTGCAGGAAAGCAAGGAGCTCGATAATGCTTCCGCTAGGTTCGTTGGCGTATGGAGCGTATGGGGAGGGAGAACACGTATCTCGCTTCTTACTACGTATTAAGACACATAAAATGCTGTAAAGAGCTTTTGCTGGGGTTATTTTCACAAATTGTTAATCTATTAATCAATGTGATAAAATCAATCAGAATTTCTAATCAATACAATCCATCACGCCTCGTCTTGCAATACTTGAAATGATGTGTTGAGTAGGAAAACTACTTGCATTTCCGTTGTTTTGACAAAATCTTTACCGCTGTTTTTACTATACCTGAGCAGCCGCTAAGGCACAAGCCTAAATACCAGGGCATAGCAACCAAGGATGTTTTGGTTCCAGTTATCAGTTGATTCCTCTGTAGCCATATTGCAAATAACTTAAAGAGTTACGAAAGTGCCCATACTGCGCTACAAATATTCCCCTTTGCTTAGAGGTTGTCTGAAATGTTTTCTCACGGTCGTAAGACCATTTATTACTAAATGCGCTCGTTGAAGGACCCCACATCCCTTTAATTATTCTTGCACCGAATCAGCCGCACAAGCAGAAGCCTAAATACCAGGGCACTGCTGCTGCAATGAGGAGCTTAAAGAAACTTTGTTAATCCGATTCTTGAACTGCCTAAGGTCAGTCGAACTGGAAAAATCCTCCTATGTTAGATTTTTCCAAAATCTCGATACCCTGAGAATACATGAGCGACCAGTTCTGAATGAACAAAGTTTGACACCGTTAGGATGGGAGGCCGAAGTCAGGCGGATCCGTATGGCAGGCACATCATGGAGCAGAGGTCTTCGGAGCAGAGTCCATTAACATAGCAGTAGAAGAGAGCTAGATCGCCGACGGCACGTCGGTGCCAAAAGGTCCCGAAACTGTCTTTTAGAGAAAAGTCATCGATCAGCCGGACAGCTCTCCCCTGAACAGCATCGAGCATGGATGATGTAGACGGGGCGATAGCACCCCACACATTTGAGCAGTACTCGATGCTAGGCCTTATCTGGGCCTTGTACAGAAAAAGATGTTAATATTATTATTTTATTGACGATAATGCCCAAGAAGGACTAAGCAATATCGATAGGACGAACGGTTGAAAAATATTCGCAGTAACGAAAAAACTTAAAAAGCAACCAGGACAAAACTTAATCATAGCAACACGTTTACTATATCCTTCAATGTTTAAAAACGATTTATTGTTATTGCGTTTAGTTACCACATAAACTTGTATGGATGAAATATTGCTCCTAGACACAAGCTATTTGAAAGTGTTCAGGATTTTCCTACATCGCCTCTGTGGGAGCATTGTGTCCCACTAAGTGGGAAAGATGCCTAAATTGTGTTTTTAGATATCCATATTTTCATTCCATTTTTGGATAGACCTAAACGCGTCTGCTTTTTGACGAGTATTTTGTCTGAAAGATAGTCCTGAGCATTTTATTAAGAAGTTTATGTCTTGGAGCAAACTCCATCTTGTGCATGTGGTAGAATTGTTATGTTGGTGAACTGGCTAATAGGGATGATGAAAAAAATGTGAATAAATATCAAACAACTATTACAAATCTAGCAACGAACCCAGAATAGACTGTAATTGGATTGCACAACCTGGAGGCCATGTATCTTGGAAACTACTCGTGAACATTTAGCGCATAGATTTTTTTGTTTTACGTGTTGACATCTACAAAATATTTAATTTTCAAAACATTTAGGTGAAGGGCATAATGTTTCCGCGGGGATATTTCACAAAGAGAAAAATTTGTTCGAGTAAAAGGGAAAAATTATGTAGATTAGGTAAAAATATAATACTGATGAGTGTTTCAGCTTCATGCGCGAAAACAAAAACATTGAAAAGCACCCACCAAATTAACGTGTGAAAACATTTTAGCACAAATGCCTTGGAAGTAGAAAGATTCGCTAAAGGGAAAAAAAATGTAGAAAAAAGAATTGCTTGAAGTTATGATAAATGTAATTCGGACTACATGTATGACGAAGAAAAATGTGAACCGACAGATCAGTTGAAATGTATCAGATTTTAGAAGGAAAATAATAAATGCCTACGATATCCTCCCAAATTTTGCTGCCAAAATTCTCGACATAAACCTGCTCCCGAGGTGAGTGGGAGCATCGGGAGCCTGTTTGCTCAATTGACGCAGTGATGCGACCTTTGTAGAACAAACAACAGCTATTAGCAGACCCCAATCGATACTTTGACCAGCAGCTCGAATAATTCATAAGCTAGATAGTAAAATTAACAACGAGGTCTGCCATACAGATTAATTTAAATCCAAGCGAAAAGTAATTAAAACTTTAATCAACTTTATTGTTATGCCGCTGTGGTTTGTTTTAAAAACATTGACGTACGCTGTTTGCGGCTGAAACGTGGAGTAGAGTCGCGTATGGGACTAATGGGGATAAAAACTAGGTCACAACAGACGCATTTATCTGTTTCAAATTGAATACTCGTATAAATTCCAGATATCATTTTACATAAAACTGTCATAGAACAATGTTTACATATACTAAGTGACATATAAATCCGAACACCCAGTTTAAATGGTTTTATTTTAATAAAATTTTGTATAAGTACTTAATGAAGCATAATGAGTAAATGATAAAAATTTCAAAATGATTGCACTGCTTTAAAGCCCTTTGACCTTTAATAATGTGTGGATGCACCCTGATGTGCTACGCATTCTCCAACGCGCCTAGGCATGCTTCTGATCAGGTGTTCAATGTCCTCCTGTGGTATCTCATTCCAGGCAACCACCAACTCCTCTCGAAGTGCTTCTAGAGTCTTAGGAGGACGTTGCAAACTGAGCAATCTCCTACCCATCATATCCCACACGTGCTCAATTGGGGACAAGTCGGGAGATCTTGGTGGCCATGGTAACAATGTGACATTATTATGTTGAAAGAAGTCTATTGTGACTCTTGCAACATGTGGTCGGGGGCATTATCTTGTCGGAAAGTTGGATCTGCCAGGGTGTCAAGATAGGGTAAAAGATGGGTTCTAGAACTTCGCGGATATAACGCTGCGCGTTCATGTTACCTCTGATGAAGATTAAAGGTGACCTGGAACCATAAGCTATAGCACCCCAAACCATAACTCCAACAGTGTGATGAACATGTCTTTCAACAAAAAACTGTGGATTCCTCCTTTCACCACGTCGCCTTCTAACCCTGGCACGATCATCGTGCATGCCTAAACAAAATCGAGACTCGTCACTAAAGACAATACTGTTCCATTCCTGATCCCAGAGTGACCGTTGTCTGCACCACTCAAGGCGATTACGTCGGTGTTCTCGAGTTAAAGGGAGGACCCAGTGTGGCCGGTATGAAAACAAGCCAAAACTTCTCATTCGTCGGTAAACACTTCGCATGCCAATAGGTCTTCCGTGTTCTGCAAACCATTCATTTGCAATGGACCTGGTAGTGGAGAAACGGTCGCTTAAGGCCAATAATCTTAGGCGGCGATCTTCACGGTCTGTTGTTCTACGGCGGCGTCCAGTGCCCCTTGCTCTTTGCGTACGGCCTTCTCGAAGCCATGCCTGACAACACCTAACCACAGTGTCTACACTTCTTTGCACTCTAACTGCAATTGCCCGAAAAGAAAGTCCAGCTTCCCGAAGTCCCACTATACGGCCCCTATCAAACTCACTAAGTTGACGAAATCGTACAGGTCTCCGTACTCTAGGCATCGTAACAGATCGTAAAGGATGTCAAGAACCAAAATCCGCCAACGTTGATTCTTTACTGCGGCTGAAATATTCATTTTTAGAGCGTTAGTGAATTAAAAAAAGCAGTATAAAAACCGGAATGTCCAACTGATAAGGCTGAACATTTTTTCACTTGTTATTTACAGTAAGATAAATACATTCACCAAATTTTATTAAAATAAAACCATTTATACTGGGTGTTCGGATTTATATGTCACTTAGTATATTTTTTTGCCAAATAAAAAATTGTGTGAAATAGATTGCCTGCGCTCTTAATAGATTTAGGAGCATGAAAAGCGACTGCGAAAGTCTTAGATCTGTGAAAAATTTATCTGATCACGTCAAAAACTATCAGGAAGTTGTGGCGGAAACATAGACGCTGCTACTAAATTATCAATTCTCGGTACAGCCGTTTTTAGAATTATGCAAGCGGGTAGAAAAAACGCAGAAAAGAGGAGAACCACAAACAATCGAATCAATGGAAGAGAGCGACAAGAATTTTCGTGATTAAACGGCACAAAAATATGTTGTTATCAAAAATTCGATAATTTTCATGATCAGAATACTTTTCTGACTGGGGCGTGGAAAGTAAAAGAGGGACAAGTAAATTGACTCAGTGCTGACTATATGTTGATATAAGATGTAAGCCTGTTCTCCGTTATTCAGATAGACAAATCCAAACTATCCAGGCTTAGTCTACACCAAAATGATTAGTGAGTCTGCATGATTTCAGAATTTTCTGTTTGTCTATAGATTGTTCACTATGCCTTAAAAAGATAGTAAAATAGCAAACCAACAAAAAATACAAATTCGCTTCAAAATTTTGACGCTTCAAAATCACCAGTAACTCACAAAATCAGATGATACGCTATAATGTCTTGTTCTTCGCTTTCGTTGGTCCTTGTGAAATTGTCTCAAAACTCCATTCAAATTTACTACTAGACTCTTCAGTTATTCAGGGCATTAAAAAGAATGGATACATCAAAATCTCTCGAAATATGCGTTTCTAGTGAAAAATGTCTTGCAAGACAGTTGTAAGATTTGAAAAGAGTATCTAATGGTAACCTTGATAATGACCCTCCCATCCTTGACACCAGAAAAACAAAGGCAACAATTAACAGACGGGTGAAAGGAAGGCCGATGGAAATGAGCGACATAGTTCTTAGCAACATTGCATACATAAGTCCCGCAGGTTTGCCTGTCCTAAAGAAACCACATATACTTAAACTTCCTCTGGGTGGTAGTTCGCGTTTTCGGAGGACTTTTGGTGTTTTCGGTATGATGTAGGAGTGCGACGTATCTGGTACATTAAAAAAAGACAGATAACCTCAAGTTCAATTATCACTTTGAAAGGCTAAACATCTTATTGAAACACGACTGC